AAATTCATGCCGACGAAAGAACTCCCTATCTGTATGGTGTTTCATAGACTCGTTGATGAGAACAACTTTTTACAGTACGCATTGCTTCTTTTCTATTTCATTTCCAGTGATGTTACTAAGGCCGAATTTCAGATATTCTTCTAAATAATTATGTTTTTTTTTTCATTGCTAAGGTTTTGTCTACCAGACGGCGACCCCCCCCTCCCCAGAAAGCCCTTCGCGACCCCCAGTTTGGGAACCCGTGAGCTAGAATTTGAATTACTTACCATTTATAAATCAATTCATTTTTTTTCATGGGAAATAACTTTAAAAGTAATTACTGATCCCATTATTTAACACATACATTGATTAATACAAATATATTTTTTAACAAATATATCAATGTAATAAATTACTTAACTACATTTTAATTTTATGTTTTCAATGTTTTCTCAAATGTTTTATTTTTGTTTATCAAAAACAAATCTTTTAGCAAATTGAAAAATATAAACACTATAAATATATATTAAAAAATTAACAGTATAAATATTTTTAAAAGTATAATCTATGATGTCCTAAATAAAATAAAAATGATAAATATGACAGTTATATGTATTCAAATAACCTTTCATTTGTGTCAGACTTGCTGGTTCCTGTTGTACGTGTGAACAGATAGGGAGATAGCAACGGGAACAGACATACATTATATGTGTGTATCATAACTACAACACTACTAATACAGAGGCGTCCAGTTTAAATTTGTATTTATATATATTATCTAACCATAATTAGGGTCCCCAACCCCACATGCATCATTTGCGTTTTCGCCGAACACTCCCTAATAGGAAAAATACAAAATATTTATTTTCTCAAACATATATATATATATATATATATATATATATATATATATATATATATATATATATATATATATATATATATACATTTACTGATATTTGTATGACTTCTGATGCTGTCTTTCAGACACTTGTAGTCTATAAATACGCTGATTTACTTTGAAATAAGAACACATATCTCCATTCAGGTTAACAGTTGTTCTTTTAATTTTGCTAGGGCTAAAATAGCTCAACTTGATGTTGCAAATCATGCAGTAGGAGGCTGACTCCCATTAATTTTTTTTTAGAGAGAATTCAAAACGATTAAAATATTAAGAAAGAAATTATACAACGTACCAACTATTCAGTTCAGTCATAGCGCGTTGATGCACGATCAACGCGCGCCTGTATAAGTGGCTTTGATACAATTCGTTAGGTATGTGTCTCATAACGTTAAGGTTTCTGCGATAAGAAATATCACGATACCGATGCGTTAAATCGACCTGGTGTACTTTATTACTATCTTCTTTCACGCAGTCTTATTCGAAATAGCGTTAGCCGCGGCCGCTAATTCTACCGTCCACACTGTCAAAAGCCGATCTAAAAAATTATATATATTTTTTGTTTCAAACGTGAATGCTTTAGTTATGTATGAAGTCTTGCTATTTAAATAATGAATACTAATGAAATAACACAAAAACAATTGGTAAATAGTGTATAAGCAAGCCTAGCGGCTATTATACTGCAAGAAGAAGTACTGCAACAATATTTTTCAGGCTAAATTTCACATCGTCCAAATTTATAAGAGGCCATTTATTATTGGGTTATATAGGAAAACAACATGTAATCTGAGCCATATCTTAAATGTCGTCATTTAAAATTAAGATTTATTTCAAACTCGTGATTATTTTCTATAAATTAAAATGTAATATTCACAAAGGTTCAAATTGTTTTAACTTACACCATAAGAATATTTATTAAAATGTTAGCTGCATTTTAGAATAATCGTACACTAGCTTCATTTCAAACTTGTTCGAAAACAGATTAAACTGAACAATTCATAGATAAATGCAACCATTTAAATATGATTAAATTACAAAAAAATTGGATACCTGTGTATATACTATATTAATTGATATTTTAGACCCAATGTCGATCGGCCAAAAGAGTAATCGAATTTAGATGTTATAATTGAACACTTTCTTTACAGATCACAAAAATATATCAGGGGCAGAGGTCTGGGTTCGTGCGTGTGTTTACTGTGAATGACTTCATTATGGGCCATCCTGGGCCTTGGTAACGGTTGACGCCTATGCTTATGATAAAAGTCAGACCCCTGTACCTTAGACAAAATGTCAACGCTCTGCAAATACGTGTTGATGGTAGCAATTAAACGTAGGGTTAATGGCCACTGGTGTAAAATACGTGTTGGGTTGCAGATAATCAGTGTTTCATCCAGGCATCTCTCGGGGAGGTGGGGGATTTGTAATTCCCCCCACTCCCCGAAAGATATCTACCTCCCCCACCACCCGAAGGAAATAGAATGTATGTAGAAAATATATAATTTTACCAATGCCCCCTCCCCGATAAAATTTTAGTCGGCCCCACACAAATTTTCAAGTCCCCCCCCTCCACTTAGAAAAGAAGACTCAATTATAAACCTCGCATATATCAGTGTGTAGTTTAGTGATAATTTACTGATCTAACCTACACCGAGACAATAAAAAATTAATAACGAAATATTCAAACACATACTATTCCCAGTGTAAATTTGACGCTTGAATTTATTATAATTTTTAGTAAGATTTGAAAACATTTGGGATGTGATCTCTACAACTGAGATCGTCGGCATTAAATAATCTCCCATTAGAATATTTGAACATGAAATATTGTGCAAGGGAAATAATTTACAAACAACGTTATTAAAAAAAAAAACAATTAGACACTATTTTTTAACATTATACAACACACAGGTGACCTAATTTTAAAGCAAAAAATATATAAATAAATATTCTATTTTTTTCATATCAGTTGTATACGTCAGCACTTTAAAAGAGTAAAATTTAAATGTAAATTTATTTTCAAATAAACTTTACTAATTGTGTAAAATATTTAATATTTATAAAATTAATGTCATTTTTCTTTGCTACCTTGATATTAAAAACTTTAAATTTTGGATCCCTCTAGTAAGGGACAAAACTTTGAAACAAAAAGAATGGAAGACTATCCGAGGCAGAAAGTCGAGAACCATAATACAAAGGGAACACATCAATCTAAAAGTAACGGGTCAAGATGTTAGTGTAGTCCATTTTAAAATCAAAGAAGTATACACCACTGCAAAAGTTAATTGGCGTTTATTGCAATAGAGCTTGAATACAAACGGGAGTTCTAAGATTTAGATTTGATGGAAATCCTATAAAATATGAGGACACACCAGCTTTGCTGGAAATGGAAGATGGAGATTCTATCGATGTTTTTCAACAACAGACAAGAGGCCGATTGTCTCTTACATGGTAGAAGTAAGCAATACATTGAAATGGAAACACGTGAACTCTACTTCACTTGCCCCGTAGACCGTCAGGTTTGAAATAGAACTTTACTTTTTACATTGGAATGTAAGTTAAATGCTGATTAAACTGATAAAGTGTGTTGTACATTGTAAAACAGTTCTCACATCGAAGCCAACAACAATTTTTTTTTTAAATTACATATTAGTCCTTCAGCAACCTTCTGGACGCATAGACCAAACATATTAACTAGAGAGGCAATTTTTAACTAAATTACTAAATTTATTTTTAAAAATACGACATATATATATATATATATATATATATATATATATATATATATATATATATATATATGTATATATTTATATATATATATATATATTTAAACACAAAATACCACATACACCAATGGTATTTATATTGATTTGCAACTAAATACGCCCACTAAAACATTATAGCGACACACGCTTTTATTTATAGTGATATAAATAGTAGTGCATTAATATATTTAAAGAAAGTAATTTTATATTTAAAGTAACCGCAGATTTATTATATTTTTAAAAATTATTTATATTTAATAAAAAAATTGTATTATTTTCTTCTTTTTAGTGCATTTATAAAAGCTTGTAATTATAAACGTTTTTATGTATTTATTATATATAAAGCGTGACTGTTCTTAGATTAGTTAGAAAAAAACTGGATATCCTGCGGTACATTTTCTACTCGAGCACTCAACTTCTAGAACAGGTAAACTCGAAAGATCTAGACCAGGAATCTATCGCCTTGAGTGGTTTACATTTAAGCCGTGCCACAAATATTTCTCCAGTAGCCTCCCCTTGTCTGTACGTTTGACGCCGTATAGAACCTTCGTATCCCATTTTACCCAGTCACGCTCCCCCTACCGTGACAGCCTACAAATGTCTTTGATGGCAGCAATACTCTGGGAACACATACATACAAATGTCTTTGATGGCAGCAATACTCTGGGAACACACACATACAAATGTCTTTGATGGCAGCAATACTCTGGGAACACACACATACACACGTCTTCAGAATACAAGCTAATCTCTCATTTCTAACACACGGGCATTGCCGTTTTAAGCTCATTATACACCATCTAAATTGTTAAAGGGAATTCTGAAAAGTAATAAAGCACGATGCTAAAATCAACTTTTAGCTAGGACCAGAGATAAAAAAATAAAGTTAATACTGGAGCTAATACCAAAAATAACATTAAGGTAAAATCTTGTCAGCAGTGGTCTGGTGTCGGAAGGTCTGACCTGTATTGAAAACATTCACGTTAGAGGAACTGACAAGCTTACAGGATTTACAGACCACATCAGCAGTTGTTTCTTGTATGACAAAATACTGATAGAAATGGAAACATTAAGTTAATAAAGTTATTGATGTATCTTATCATATAGAGTTTACATTTTTCTATAATCTCGACATAAGCATGAAAAACGTAGTCAATGTTCCATAACGTGAGTAAAGTACCACCGTAGCTGTGTTGACTCATTTACGCACTAGCCTTGGTCCTTATTGTCTTTATCACATTACAAAATAACGACAGCTATTATATGTTTGATAATTCAGAAAATTTTATTATGTGTTAAAAAAAAACGAAAAAAAAAAACAAAACAAATAAAATAAAATAACACATATATCATAAGTTATATAAATGGATTTATTAGTAAATATATAAAACAAACAATTTCCTAAACTACAAAAGGAAGGCTTGATATTAAAATTAAGTGAGCGATATAATAAAGATGTATATAAATGCATATAATTGCTTTCCATTAATTGTGTCCATGTAAACATACTAATCAAATACAATTATAAAATTAGGTAATTGGAAATTTCTCTAGCCTATGGTATGGAACACAAACGACACTAAATTGTTCACGGGAGATAACAATTAAAATTACCCACTTGATTTGTGAGAGTATGGTTATATACCTTGAAAACGATAATAAAAGAATATTCCAATCTCAGTAATACAAACATATTCAGAATTAAAACTTTTATTTTGTACTAATATGTACTTATATGTGATAGGAGACTTTCTTCATAAACAAACATGCTCAATAATAGATACACTAGATAAAATATTAACTACTTAAACATAGGATTTACTTAAATGTTCACATTTATAATACAAAGCCTTACATATCCCAAATTAACAGTTACTTTCTACTTTATGCGATGTTAGGTGGCATATATACATCTTTCAAAAAACTATGCGAAAAAATATTATTGAAAAAATTGCACAAACATTACACACGTTATTAGAGTTAAACTTCACACGATCCGAGTGAATGTCTAATTAAAGATATAGTGGTAGATGACAACTACACTACTAGTCTAGTTATGAATATGCAAGAAATAAATGACACCATCATAGTCGTTTTTTACCTGTTTTAATGGCTAACACACACACAGTCAATCTATGAGGAATTTCAATTCCAGATGAGCGTATACATGGCTTTATTACATCATGATAGTAAAACAAACTCTGTTGTAGTTTTTAAAATCATTTTTTAAATAAAATGTTTGGTTTAATGTTCGTTAATTTTAAACTTCTTATGTATACTCACCATCAAGAAAATATTTCCTTAGTGAAATGTTTACATCTATTTATTTTAATACATGAAATGTTTCTGATGTTTATATAAATAATTTGTCTACTGTATATCTATTATTTTACCATAGCATTGTTTTCGGGTTGTTTACATTTGACGAAGTTTCATCTCAACAAAGTCTAGAGAGTCAGACCAGCCTGTAATGCCAGCCCAATGAATTCCTTTATCAACAACACGACTCGCCCATTCACCGTTGACGTTAACCCAGTGACAAGCCTCATACCACCAACCACCTCTACTCATGTCTACAGCACAGTTGCCACGTGACCACACATCGTTTTCAGAGTCAATGGTTGTAAACTTCATGCCCTTGTGACGACTAAAGTAGTCTCCACCATTCCCACCACTGAATGACGTGTAGCTCATCTTATACTTTGCTGCTTCATTTTCTACCTTAAAACCTCTGTACACAGCGTAGTAGTCTTTACCTTTATACTTCATGTCAAATCTGAGTTCATTATAACCCTGTGTTAGACAAAAAAATAGAAATATTTAGATATTGCATTGTGTTTGAAATATTGTAAGTATTGATCCCTCTATACTATATGATAATTATACATATCGATTAAAAAACGTAACGAAAATCTATAAACAATATACACAATTTTCCAAAACACATTATTACAATAATACACACACTGCTTGAAAACTTTCTTTGTAAAAAAAATATTGAATAAACTTGTTTTGATAGTTCCTGTATCTACCCCATCATTAAAACAAAAGACGTCTGTTGACAAAGGAAATATTACATTATCTATTGCCTGCTTACATTGCAACTGAAAAATATATTCCCTTACAAGAAATTCTATTTATATTCAATTTACGTATGGCTTTTCTAGAACTCCCTCCTTTTCAATTAATCACCTTACATTGCCTGCCGTTGTAACAAGCTCGCAGTTAATAAACCCATCTCCCTTACAATATATATTACTTATGTACTTTTCCTTCTTTTGATATGTTCAATAGCCCTAATTCTAAATCTTACAACGTATCTTATTTGTACCTCTATATGTATGTTGTGTGATGGAGTTAATATAAATAAGGTGAGGACAGGCGGGAGGGTGTGGAATAGAACTATTGATAAAACCGGTAGAGGAAGAAATGGCAGTGGTAAATACCCTGCTGACTGCATTACACTATTCTTCAAGGTTCGTTACATAACCACGATCTTTATTGTATAAACTGTGTTACCCTTCCTAAAATATCTAACTAATCTGTAAATCGGTTATCTAATAAACACTTCTGAAATCAACGGATCAAGACACTTAGCTTTTTTCCCCATAAAAATAAAACACGCTATGTTAATTTATTCATCTATTAACATACTGTATGTGCAGTAAATGCACCTTCGTCATATCAAGTGAAGATGTATAGTATTTGTTTCGTTATTTAGCTATTGTTTTGTAAAATGTAAAAACTCAACAAAATACATTAGGATGCATTCGCCATTAAAATAGCACGTTACTTAATCTAGGTCCATTTAAATGTATTTTAAATATTCAATGCCATGACTGATGATTTAAATGTGCATTTCAGTGACATGTGTACACCAGACGCATAGTCCAATCGATATGAAGATTAGATAAAATTATCAACATGAATGTATTAGTAACTGTAAACAATTGTATGCTATATTAATAGCAGAAATTTCAAGACTTTGCATTCACTACGTATCTCCACATTTGCAGCTTATATTATCCATCCATCTATTTATCTCCTTTTTCAACAGCCCATTAACAGTTTTAGCCAGATTCAATACATTCTTCCGCTCATATTTGTCATATGTCTTCATCGTCCAATTCTTGAATTTTATTTATTTTATCTCCACCTCAGCAATGCATTTAGGTCAAGTTGTAGCCTACATTATGGTAGGAATGCAGAGCCTGTCTAAAAGAGCATCGTATTTATTTTCTCTATCAGTATACAACCTCTACGGCGGCTTAATACTAAACTAGTTTACAACCTCGAATGTATAAGGGTTACGGTTGGTTAATTTATATTTAACTCTCATCTTCCGAGTTTGTTGATTACAACCATTTAGATACGCATCACCGCCTCTGGTATCTCACCAATCCCTCCCCTTTCTGACGTTTTTGGCCCCATGACCCCACCCCTACAACCCTCGTTCCCCCATGACCCCATCCCTACAACCTTCGTGCCCCATATCTTTTCGTACTATTTATTCTGTATAAATATGGTTTCTATTGCTCCTTTTTTAATCGGTTTTATTAACATAACATTCAAACAAACATTATAATGATGTTTTAACACTAATTTAATAGTATTTTATATCGACTTTCCATTGGTCCACAGCTTACATGACCCCATGACCCCATCCGTCTATCTCCCCACTTCCCCTAGACCCCCACCTCTTTTCACATGAAGTCGAATATCCTGAAAGTCATCCTTAAAAAGGTTTTGCTTACCTTTATTAACATGTACGAAACTATTCAAATTCTTTCATGAGAACACTGTTATCCAATTTTTGACCTTTAAAACTCCACCGTATCCCCAAACATCATTATAGCTTCACGCCTACCCACCCAAAACATGTCGGTACTAAGCAGTCAAATAATCTTAGCTACGACTATGCACATCGACACAGAAGCACCACACGTTATCCCCTCCCACTCAATCACTAACACTCCAACCTGTTCGGAACACTACCCCCCCCCCCCCCCCCCCAACGACCTTACCATGCCCCAGAACATCAGCTTTGATTTGTTTGTGTTTTTTTTCCCTATTATATCTAGTATTGTACAGCCATCCGTGACGATAGTTTACAGAAGACAATGAAAAGATCAAGCAAAGCTTGTTATTACCTCCCCTTATTTTTAAATCGTTTAAACCATAAATTATCTGCCCTTAATAGCCGTAAATAATTCGACCGGGCTCTACGATTGTAAACAAATCACGCGACTGGTAGGGTGGGGCAGGTAGCGACATGGTCTGTTGGGTATGCATGGAGAGAGGGGGGGGGGGGGTTGGCGTGCGTCTACGTCTTGTCCCGAATGGTCCCCCATGAAGAGAGTTATATACGTAGATGTTTATTGTACGAAATGGGATGAAATCCACTTAAACCTACTTTATTTTCGACTATTCTACTATATGTTATAATTTTCACCCTCGATTATTGGTAAAATGTTCTAAACCAGCATTTGACCACTTTTCTTTAACCAACATGCTTTAAACCCAATGTATGTTATGTATTTATTTACTTATTTATCTATTTATTTCAAATACCATATGCATCACTCCAACTACCTTGTAAATATCTCCCAAACGGCATGTTATGTTACAGTATTTTTTTTTAATTATAAAACACGATTACATTAGGCCCAAAATTAGTTTGGACATTAGAGTATCTGGTTTGTTATCTCAGTATAGTTACACATCTCATTGACATTTTTTTAAATTACTCAGGAAATAGATAATTTAAAATTAATTGAAGCAGGCTACAAAAAACTTTTTGAGGGGGATCCTTTTTTTTCTAGTTCCGCAATGATAATAACACATCAATATATTTTCTTCCAAGAAATATCTAGATCAAACGAACGTATGAATGCCAATTGTAGTACAATATCCTTCACTTACCGAATCAGTTATTCACTGCTAGTCAATAATACCCTCTTCTCTAAAATGTATTACCCTAGTTCCGTAATTACTATCCTCTCCTTTGAATTACAACATTTTACCATTCCTGTCCATCTCCTATTCATAACCCTAAGCTTTACATATCGCTAACCATTTTATACACTCTATGTACTGGTGTCCGTTGAATTATAAAATAGGTGAGTGTCCTATTGCAGTTTTATGTTGAATGGGGAGTAATTTACAGGGGTAGTTAATCTGAGGAAATGATAGGGGGGTAATGACTTGAGGATAGTTAAAGAGGGGTGGAAGAGCGGGAGCTGTAACATTCTATCCTCATCTTTGCCATGACATATGAAACTAGCTCAAGACCACTAAAATTGTAACATTATTTCTAGAGATGAGATATTAAAAAATAAATAAGTGTATTTTATTTGCAATTCAAATAATATAATAAAATAGATAATGTTATCTCTTGCGAAGTATTGGAAAAGACATTTGTTTATCGATAGTAAAATAATGTTTTTATTTGTTAATAGACGGTCTTTAACAGTTGTATACGTGCAAGTTGTGTCAGTAGAGATGTAAAATACAAAATCACTCAATCAAAAATGCGTGTTTCATACGTAATCTCGCGTGTCATATTAGTTTTTACACTAAATTTAATCGTTAATAAAAGTACTAAATTTTAAAGTAGATACGTTTTTGGAAATCACGCAGAAGAAATTATTGTCAAACTGAGAAAATGATGTTGAAACGAGCCCATGTTTTGTGAAACAGTTATCATATAACTAAACTAACAAACTAGTGTATACATGTATCACATAAAGTGATTGTTTTAAGAATTAGAAATTAAGTGATAGCATGTTTATCTTGAAGTGTGTATGGTACAATCACCTTAATACTCCCCTAAAACACATTACTCAGTGTTATTTCGTGATGTTCTAGTACAAAATTCAGTTTCCATGCAGGGTTTTAAGCAGCCAATATTTCCTTACCAAATCTGTCAACTTTGAAATTACATCATTTCCGATCCAAAAGTCTCCAGATGTTGAACCAAATCCGTTTTTATAATCGTTCCAAGTTCTTGTAAAGTTTACATCACCTTTGAGACGTCTCTGTAAGAAATAATAAATATTCTTATATAAAGTTTTAAAGCTTCTGTTTAAAATGACGGCGGTGGTAAACATACGGTTACTGAGTTCATTTGATTTATTCCAAGGTTTAATTATCTTTGAGATTAATTAAGATCTCTAGTTATATCATACAACAAACAATTTACTTAAAATCAAATCAGTCGTTAGTTTATTATACTTAATATTTTCATATTAACTCTCTAAACATTTCCAACACTTTGTGTATTAGACAGCTAAAATGTTTTTGGGATAACACACTTGCTTTAACTTTTGCTTGTGTTAAATATTGAAACCAAATAAATCGCAATTTTTGTACATACAACACTAAGTATATTTTTCACAATCAGATTTTTAAAAGTAAATTTACACTGAACATTGTCGTTGTCTATCACATAGTCTGATTTTCTCTTTTATTTTAAAATAAAAACTTTTATCAAGAAGAACAATAAACTAGACTACGAATCAGCTTTCACATCACAATCCCCAAAACATTGAGTTATGTTAAAAATACTGCTGTAAAATAAAACACATAACTTTAGGTCAACCAATTAAAATATTGACCAGCGCCCTACCAGACTACAATAAAACTTTAGCTGGTGTTTTAAACGTCGATATAATCTATTATAATCATATTAATTTCAAATAGCCAAACAAAAAGCTCGGTATATAGTTCAAATATTACTTTTTTTTTTCTTTAGACCGTAGCTAAGCGTCTATAATTTAGTATCATACATTTGTGTTAAAAGATGTAAATACATCAAAATTGTTAGAAAAAAATATCGGAAAAAACTTATTTGGTAAATGTCTAACAATGTTTTAAATGACAAAATAACCTGTATAATAATCCATCCTCCACTGTCAGTCTTGTTATCACACAATGTCCTGTTAACATCTACTCCAGCCTCTGTCATGTCCGAGAAAATACGATCGTTCATGCTGGTACATTTTATCTCCTCCAAATGGGCGTCTATATCAATGTCTGTTTTGTTTAGTAGTGATACAGCTGTTTGTAAATCCTTCAGTGTCTTTAACTGTGTCTCTGACTGTAATTTGTTGCTTTCATCCAGTTGTTGAATGCTTATATTGTGACGTTCCAATATCGCTGTGCTATTTTTTAACATTTCGTTAGTTAAATTTAGTAAATCTTTTTTGAAAACTTGCATGGTTTTTGTTAAAATTTCACTTTTATTTAACCTTTGAGACAAAGTTTGAACATCGAATGATACATTAACCACACTATTATTCAGTTTATCCAGTTGTTTTTGTAAAACAATGTATAGATTTGTTACATTTTGTACCGACCTATTTTGTTTTTCAAGTGTGTTATTGTTCGCTTGTATCTGTTCAATTGTCTTTAGATAGCTTTCAGTGAAGTTGTATTTAAAATGCGTGAGCTCTTGATTTGTGTTATTTAAGGTGTTCAATCTGTTATAAACGTTGTTCATTTGATTTTCAAGTCTCTGAATTGTAGATCCTTGGGCAGATAACAAGCTATTGAATCTACTTTCCATCGCATTAGTAAGGTTAACCAGAGTTTCATCACCCTTCTCCTTTGTTAATTCTGTTTTGTGATAACTAAGGTTAGAACGTTTGTCATCTGTTAAAAACTGTAAATTCATCTTCAAGTCAGCTCTGTTTAACTTATCAGAATATTTAAATGTTTTTAGAAACTCAGACATTCTATCAATTGTTTTATCAAACTCTGGAGTTTTAGCCTCTAAGGTCATTAACATCAGTGGCTTAAAATTGTCTTGGTCAACAGGTTTGGTTTTATTTTCTTTCATCTCAATGAGACCCCTTTTATTTGTGTAATACACATCACATCCAAACACTGTACTAAAACAATCAGAACGTTTTGTAAATGATACGGTCAATTCTCCAAACACTTTTGAAAACTTTCCTTCAACTTTTGATCCAATTACTTTATAATCTCGAACTCTTGATTCTGATTCTGATACACACGCCAACACAATTTTCCCCTCTAATTCACTGATCCTATAGACTGACATGTTGACAAGAGCTGATATTTCATTATCTTCTCTTGTGTTCTCCACACAATGTAACTTGCCACAAAATAAATCTTTACCCTCCATATAATATTCTCTTTCTAGTGAAATGTCAAGCCCTGAAATATATTAAAATAAACCAATGAAATTTGGAAAACTAAATTAATCAAGAAATACTTTCTTTTTATACACTTCAAGCACAACAGCATTCGATTAATCATTTCTTATTCAATTTCTTCATTGTAAATTATTTCCAAAGAAATCTATTTATTAATTGCAAAAAAATAAAAATAAAACATAAAACTGAAATTGTGTACAACAAGTTGTATTATTGTAATAATCGGTAACTTATTATTCAATATGTGTTAGTTTATTTAAATTACTTGGACAGAGCCAATAATTGAAAACAGGTAGGGCTTTTTATCGATGTTTGTGTAAACACATTACTTACAAATTAACATATACACAACTAAATAGAAAACTAGGTTTAAGCGTTCACTGGTAGAATTTTAAAAAATTAACTTAAACAAAATATGTTATGCATTTTAACGTTTAAATATAGTTTCTAAAACGGAAAGAAAACGGCAGCCCTCTAAAGTCATAAATGTATACGCTTTTGTTAAAAATAGAAATTGAATTAAAACTGAAGTAATTTACAATTAGCTAGTTTCAAGCTCGGTCACTGGTCTAATGAAGTACATTAGCTAGAGACAGCAACGCATCATAGGAAAACAAACATCTCTAAAACCCCATAAACTTCTACCTTGCTAAGTGTAGCGAATCTTATCCAGAAGTAAATGAAGGATGATATTGTGGTAAACAAATATAATGGCACAGAACATAAAACAGGCAATAATGAAGTTTGTTGCCGACATGTATGTCGTAAAATACATTGAAAGTGCATTCGAAGGAACAAATCATATGGCCCAGAACCTGAAACAGACAAAGACTATTCATAAGAAAGTGATTGGTTAAAAAAGTTATTTAAAAAAACTTTTTTGAAGATGATGTCAAGGAACAGTTAGGTTGGTTACTTATACATGAAGAAAATACTTCTACCTAAAGCAACCTATTTCTGGACGGCTGATCGATTTTAGCTTACAAAATTCTTGAGTTTGGTTCCGTGAGATGATAATCGAACTCTAACTATGGAACAGAAATAAAGACTGTACTGATCATTCTGTTCTTACATATAAAGATTAAAAGAAAATGACAAATGTTTTTCCTCTGTCCGTCGACAATGACGTTAACAAGCGAATAATTGTATACCGCGGTGTTTGGGCATAAGTTAATTTTTAGAAATGATTGACATTTGTAATATTGTTTTTTTAAGCGAAATTATTATCAAATTTATAAATGAAAAAAATTGGGAGTGATCTCCCTTAAACTTTCTCCGGTATTATTAAATAACACTACTGGGAAGGACAACACCATTTTTAATTTCATAAACTTTTAAAACTAAAAAAGTATCTCGTGATAAAATAATTGCGCATGAAGAGAACGGCTAAAAATATCTGAATAATAGTTCGGAATATTAATACTTTATAAATTCATATTGAGAAATTGGAAAGAGCGTAAATTACTACTTACGAACATCAGAAATTACTTAGAATTCGACAAAAAGGAGAGAAAGTGAACTTTTACTAACATTTCAAATTTAATTTATCTATCTAAAATAATAATCAAGTCACACGCTTATGAAAAATTAAGAGCAGAATAAGTTCAACTTCTGGTTACCGGAAATCACTAAAAAGTTCATGCGCAACTGCAAATTTAATATTATAGCTGTATACGAAATCTCATTAACCTAGCTATAACGGTACTCAAGTTATCGCGTCGAAAGACAATCACACACATATACACATTCAAAAATACACACATACACACATACACACATACACACATACACACATAATTACATACAAACATACACACATACACACGTACACAAGTACACACATACACACATACACACATACACATATACACACATACACACATACACACATACACACATACACACATACACACATACACACATACACACATACACACATACACACATACACACACAAATTCACACATACACACATACACACATACACACATACACACATACACACATACACACATACACACATACACGCATACACATACACACATACACACATACACATATACACACATACACATACACGCATACACACATACGAACATAAACACATACACACATACACACATACACACATACACATATACACACATACACACATACACACATACACACATACACACATACACACATATATACATACACACATACACACATACACACATATACAGATACACACATACACACATACACACATACACACATGCACACATACACACATACACACATACACAAATACACGCATACACGCATAAACTCATATACGCATACACACATATCGCCCATAAGCGCATACGCGCATACATATACACATACATACACACATACACACATATACACATACACGCATAAACACATACACGCATAAACGCAAACATGCATACACGCATACCCGCATACACGCATACCCGCATACACTCATACACGCATACACGCATACACGCATACACGCATACACACATACACACATACACACATACACACATACACACATACACACATACACACATACACACATACACACATACACACATACACACATACACACATACACACATACACACATACACACATACACACATACACACATACACATACACACATACACACATACACATACACACATACACACATACTCACATACTCACATACACACATACTCACATACACACATACACACATACACACATACACACATACACACATACACACATACACACATACACACATACACACATACACACATACACACATACACACATACACACATACACACATACACACATACACACATACACACATACACACATACACACATACACACATACACACATACACACATACACACATACAAAAATGCACGCATACACACATACACACATACACACATACATACACACATACACACATACACACATACACACATACACACATACACACATACACACATACACACATACACACATACACACATACACACATACACAAATACACACATACACACATACACACATACACACATACACACATACACACATACACACATACACACATACACACATACACACATACACACATACACACATACACACATACACACATACACACATACACACATACACACATACACACATACACACATACACACATACACACATACACACATACACACATACACACATACACACATACACACATACACACATACACACATACACACATACACACATACACACATACAACATACACACATACACACATACACACATACAAACATATACACATACACACATACACACATACACTCATACACACATACACACATACACACATACACACATACACACATACACAAATACACACATACACACATACACACATACACACATACACACATACACACATACACACAATCACACATACACACAATCACACATACACACATACACACAATCACACATACACACATACACACATACACACATACACACATACACACATACACACATACACACACACATACACACATACACACATACACACATACACACATACACACATACCACGCATACACACATACAACATACACACATACACACATACACACATACACACATACACATACACACATACACACATACGCACATGCACATACAGACATACACAAATATAAACATACACACATACACAAATACAAGCATACACGCATAAACTCATGCACGTATACACACATATCGCCCATAAGCGCATACGCGCATACGCATACACATACATACACACATACACACATACACACCGGAAATCACTGAAAAGTTCATGCACAACTGCAAATTTAATATTATACCTGTATTCGAAATCTCATTAACCTATCTATAACGGTACACACATACACACATGCACACATACATACATACACACATGCACACACATACACACAGGCACATACACATACACATACACACATACACTAATACACACATACACACATACACACATACACACATATACACATACACACATACACACATACACACATACACACATACACACATACACACATACACACATACACACATACACACATACACACATACCACGCATACACACATACAACATACACACATACACACATACACACATACACGCATACACGCATACATTCATACACGCATACACACATATCGCCCATAAGCGCATACACATACACATACATACACACATACACACAGACACACAAACATACATACATACATACACACATACACACATACACACATACACACATACACACATACACCTATACACACATACACACATACACACACATACATACACACATACACACATACACGCATACACGCATACACACATACACCTATACACACATACACACATACACACACACACACCTAGACACATACACACATACACGCATACACGCACACACTCATACACACATACACACATATCGCCCATAAGCGCATACGCGCATACACATACACATACATACATACATACACACATACACACATGCACGCATACACGCATACACGCATACATGCATACACGCATACACGCATACACGCATATACGACAACACGCCAACACGCATACACGCATACACACATACACACATACATTCATACACACATACACACATACACACATGCACACATACACACATACACACATGCACACACATACACACATGCACATGCACATACACACATACACACATACACACATACACACATACACACATATAAACATACACACATACACACATACACACATACACACATACACACATACACACACATACATACATACATACGGAAAAATCGCAAAAAAGTATTTGTCCGACTTAGGAGGAGTAAAACGTCAAGATTTGTGAAAATATCGATTTCGATTTTTTGCACGATTACAATACTTCCTCTATACTTCGTATACGTGGAAATAAAAACAAGCAATTGTTATCTAAAAAATTTACAGATAATTAAAAATAAATATCTCCATCTCGTTTGTTTTGCAGTTGTATACAAATGTACTTACCACAGGTGAACATGATATTTACAAACAACAGAGCCGTCAATAAAATAGAAGACATTGTTTAGTTGTGTAGTTCTGTATCACGTGAACTTGAGACTTCTCTAAACCGCTGCTTCTGTTTGCTTGTGAGGATATCGCCGTCTATTTATACCACAAACATTGGGTTGAAGCAAAAAAAAAAAAAAAAAACGTTAGGGCTAAGGCGTGTTGATAAAATTGCATGTGAAATTGCCTTGACCGAATTTGCCACGTTAAAAAAAACTATGCTGAAACGTCAATAAAGTTCATGGATCTCACATTTTAAAAAATTGACTACATTTTAAGAGCCCGACTTTTTATTTTAGAAAGGGTTTTTATGTACCTTTCTTTCTTTGTTATATTATTTAATTTAGCATACAGATGAAGTTTTAAAAGGAAAGAAATAAATTATCATCAACACTTTATCGAATATCATTTGTACTTTTTTTATTTTACATGTAGGGGGCATGTATGTCATCTTTCTTTTTATAAAGGTGGACACTAAGAAAAAACAAGGCGATGAAATCGGTTGTTTTAAAAATACAACTAAATGGTAACAAGCCATAAGGCAGAAAGTTTTGCCTCTTAACATTTAGCTCACCTAAAAAAACAACAAACGCACTAATAGAATAACTAGTTTTAAGCTGAATTACCACACAACGGTTTTATCTAATTCAACAAAAAAAAAAAAAAAACATATACACATACAAAGATAACCAGTAAAATTTTGAGAATCACTGGATTTGAATAAACCGACATATTTTTTAAAAAACCTGCCTGGGTGTGGGAACTCAGCTTCACACACGAATCACGTGACATGCAACGAGTAAAAACAACTCAAGCATCAAGATAAGAGCTCGGCTGTCTAGGTTATATCACCAGAGTCTTGGCCTTGAGATTTACATAACAGACTTACGAGTGTGAACATGTCAAGGCAACCTTTGGCCCTGCAGTAAGAAAGTATGTCAATCTTTCTTTCCCACGATTTAAAAATGTTATTCTCAAAATAAAAAAAAAACAAATGTGTATACCCAAACCAAAAGAAATCTTACAAGGACGAGTAAGCTTAGCATTTGTATGAAAATAAAAATGTATATTTTTTAAAAAAATCATCTTTCATACCAAAATTAACTATGTGTCGATTATTATTAACTAATACTTTCTGTACTAGAAGATAGTAGCAATAACCCAAAAAACCGTCAAGTTTTAGTTCAAATTAAATATGCATAGCAGTAAACCTTTACAGCAAAGAAGATGTTGTTTTTTTTTGTTAAAGTTCGTCAATTTTATGAACATTTTATTAAATGTACTACACATTAGATACAACTTGACTAAAGGGTTATACTTGTATCTTGTATTTGAGAAAGTAAAATAAATATTTTAATCTTCCCTATGTGGGGCATCAGAAATCTATGTCTTTTGAATAATACAGTTATTAACACATCTCACATGTTAGAATGCTGAGCAACGTACATTGTGTGTAGTATGCTATGCTTTCTTTTATTTTTAATATAATTTAATTATGCTTGTGACCTATCTCATATGTTAGTCAAAAAACTCGTCACCATATATGATATGCTGGTCACATGAGTCACCCCCACATGTTAGGTGCTGGTCACATGACTAGCCCCTACGTTTAAATTCTAATCACATGACTCAAGTCTTCATTTCAGATCCAGATTGTGCTAGTGATCAGCTAAAATAAATAAGCTATTTCGTTAGCATCATGCTTTTTAAATGCAAAATTTAGTTCAAAAGTTTAATCTTGATTGCATTGCTCCATAAATCAGCTACTTTATATCAGCAGTTTTACCGTAATTTTAAAGTTCTCGTGCCAGAAATCCATTGCCCTAATTGTTGCGGGAAGAAATGCAAAGTCAGTTACAGGCCTACATGTTTTTTTACCTACTCACGCGATAAAAAATTGTAATATCTCAAGGACAAGCTATGAGTGTAGAACGTAGATACCCACATTGTTATCTTGATGCACGTGTTGTTTTGCTCGGTTCATGCAAGACGATACCAGTGGGAAACGTTATTTTCGCGCGATGGTGCTGCAAAAATGTGTCTGGATCCAAAATGTTGGTTTCTTGCTTTTAAATTATGTCTTGTGCACAAGGGTTCTCAATTTGTTTTCGATGGATTCTATTTTAGAAAATTATGTCTTATGCACAAGGGTTCTCAATTTGTTTTCGATGGATTCTATTTTAAAAAATTATGTCTTGTGCACAAGGGTTCTCAATTTGTTTCCGATGGATTCAATTTTAGAAAATAACTTGTTGGTCGATTATCCATATGTCTTGTGCACAAGGGTTCTCAATTTGTTTTCGATGGATTCTATTTTAGATAACAACTGGTTAGTCGATTATCCATATTTCTTGTGCACAAGGGTTCTCAATTTGTTTTCGATGGATTCAAATTTAGAAAATAACTTGTTGGTCGATTATCCATATGTCTTGTGCACAAGGGTTCTCAATTTGTTTTTGATGGATTCTATTTTAGAAAATAACTTGTTTGTCGATTATCCATATGTCTTGTGCACAAGGGTTCTCAATTTGTTTTCGATGGATTCTATTTTAGATATTAACTTGTTGGTCGATTATATATATGTTTTGTGCACAAGGGTTCTCAATTTGTTTTCGATGGATTCTATTTTAGATAATAACTTGGTCATCGATTATCCATTGTAAATTTGATGGGTAGCGGTTTACAATATTTTAACAATAGAATAACTGATGGTGTTTTAGAAATACGTTTTAAAAATGTTTTCAAATGTAAACATGTATATATTTTTAAATATACAAACCCTTGTCCTAGTTTCGTCAGATCTTAATATTTCGATTATAAATTATCACCTTCCACTCTAGCCACTCCGACTGTTCTAACATGGGTTACAACAGTTAAAAGTTCTGATAAGAGGTAAGGGGTTGGATTAATGCCAGTGATTAACGGAAAGTGAGATGAAAGAATATTCAACCCTGAAAATGTTGGAGGTGGAGAATTAGTTAACTATTTGAAGCAAATATTATTAGGTAGGGGGAGAGGGTCGAATAATTAATTTAAAACAAAAAAGGCATCAAGGAAAATATAAACCACCGTTTTACACATCATGTATAAAAACAAAATGTTTATTGTTAGTCCAAGAAATCAGGTGTAGGCTATTTAGATTTTAAATGTATTTCGAAGCAGCTAGTAGTGACGTAGCGAGGTCGGGTGTCACCCGGTGCGGCACTTAATGGTGTCACCCCCCTCCCTCCCCCAGAGGCGTAGCGACCCTTCCCGGGAAAAACTTTCAAATTCTCGATTTGCACCCCCCCCCCCCTCAAAATTTCGATTTGCACCCCCCCCCCTCAAGCTTTCGATTTCCACCCCCCCCCCCCCTCAAACCTTCGATTTGCACACCCCCCCCCCCCTCAAACTTTCGATTTCCAGTTTAAATATGTATTTGTACTTATATATCATAATTAACCATAATTAGGAGTTCCTAGTCTCAAATGCTTAATTTGCGCTTTCTCCAAACACTGGTTGTCGAGATATGGGCCAAAAACTGCATTTTTTTTAGGTTTTTTGGCTTTTCCGGGAAATCCAGGAAGGAATTCCGGGAATTTTTTTGGCCTATGTTCATCCTCAGAACTTGCTTAACATATTTGCTTTTGGAACTAGTCCTCGATATTGCTTCGTTGAGGAGGAGATATGACTTAAAGCTGCGGACACACATCCATTCTCATGCAGGTTAATAGTCTTAGCTGGGGCTTGAATTGCTCAACATAGCATTACAAACATGCAGTTAGGATGTTGACTCTCATCAAATTCCGTTTTATTTCACATCAATATTTGTGTTCGTCGACTTACTTTTGTTTTTGCGCGACATAGTATGAAGAGATTAATTTTTTAAGAAAAAAAAATCAAACGACGTACCATTAATTCAGTTCAGTCGCTCGACGATTAGGGGTCGGCGTGGTCGAGTCGGAAAAGCTCATAAAAGCTCATGGTTTCTAAACTGAAAAGTCTCGAGTTCGAACCCTCGGGCAGATGAGGCTCGTTAGCTGGATACAGCCACTCTTTTAGGAGAGACAACTTCAAAATCAAACAACTGCTGCCTTGTAGTTTGTTCAAAGGCTATGGAAGCAAATCCAAAAAGAAAAGCAGGCTGAAATCGGAGTCAATGGCCTCAACGGCGCATAACCAGTTGACACGTATCCTTAATTGTGAACAAGGCGTGGTCGAGTCGGCAAAAAGCTCATGGTTGATAAATTCGAAAAAGTCTCGACTTCAAACCCTCTGGCATATTAGGCTCGATCCCTTCCAACACTTAAAATTAAGAACGAAGAAGAAGAAGCAGAAGCTCGACGATTACTGGGCCATAATATAAAAAAAAATGTTTGTCATAGCACGTTGATACACGATCAATGCGCGCCTGTATAGGTGGCGTTGATACGATTAGTGACGTATGTGTCATGGCGTCAAGGGTTACGATAACAAATATCACGATATCGATGTCGTATTCGCATTGTCAATGACCGCGGCCTCTAGTTCTATCGTCCACACTGCAAAATCCTATCGAAAATTATCTTGACCACTCCCGGCCGAACCCCTGAGGCTGATTTGGTCAACCCCATGTTGGCAATCGTGAAGTATTTATTATGTATCAAAAAGCCTAATAAGTAAAGGAAATGCATATTTAGTGGTCTCAATTAAAATGAGTAATACAATTTTAAGATTTATTCACGTGAAAAAATGAGCCACCAAAAATCAAAATTAAAAATAAAAGCTTTATGGCTGCTTAAGACTATGTCCAATTGAATTTCATGATTTGACCACAGAACTACCAAACAAATAGACGGACATGCGAAGAAATCGAGCTAAAAATAACCTCGTAAAAATTAAATAGCTGTTTTATCGGGGCAATGGACCACCACCTCATTTTACACGATCAGTGTTTCTTTCAGACTTTTTTCTACGGGGGGGGGGCACATATTTTCGGGGGGGGGGGGGCGGACACTGGTAAAAGTATGTTTCTACGCGAGGGGGGGGGCAGAGCCACCCCGAATAGATGCCTGGACGAAACTCTGAACACGATTCCGCACAATGAACAAT